AGAAATAATTAAAATCATCAGCAAAAGAGAGAACTCTCTTTCTGCCTATAATAAAATACTGATGTCAAATTGATAGGTTTTTAATTTTTTCATTATATGTCTCATCAAATAGATAGTTAGGGATAAGCTAAATGTATTTTGACTTATTTTGTTTTAGTTTTTCTTATCTAGTTCAGATGAATAAATAAATTTTCTACATAGCTGTTTCCAGTGTTTTCTATAAAAGGTGACCACAAAAGGGAAATTACTATGATGATACAATGCATTACATATTAGCAGTATAAATACTCAGTATTATTCAGTTCTCTGAATAAAAGATTATTAATGCCTTTGGAATTTATTTTCTTATTTATGGCTCCTCCTGTGTTAGAGCTAGAGTACTGGATCCTCTTCTCCCATCAGCGTATGGGATTATTCTAAAACAAAGACCCATACTTCCTTGGCTATTGGATTGTCCAGAAGGCTAGAGGTACATTTTTGCTGCAGTTATCATGTTTATGAAGATCTACACTGCCTGAAAGTGTTCTACAAATTCATTAAAGATCATATTTAAAAATCAGAGTAAATAAAACTCATTTATGAGACAGTGTATCTGAACTACCTGCCCAGAGTCCAGAGGATTTCCCCTTTTCTGTGTACAGAGGTACTCTTTAAAATCTGAAGATACTACTTAGTACTAGTATAAATTTTTTCAAATGGCTGCTGTCTCCTGTGTTTACAGCATTTTAGTATCTGAGCACATATACCTTTTAAATATTTTAAGTATCATAGGAGCCCAGAGGGTAGGTAAATGCTCCCATCTGTCTTGCAAGATGTAAAGTGACATTCTGAATGTGACACAAATATCACAGCAGAGTGTACCTAGAAATGGAGCTCATTGCCATGGATTTCAGTCAATTTTCCTTTAAAAAGTCTCTCAGCTCTTAATTTGTCTGATACAACCAATTTAGGGTGTTAAGACTGTGATCATTCAGGGGCAAGCCTTGAGTGGTCCATACAGTGTAAAAATACAGAGTTGTTTCCCTAAACAAAACGATCCATTTTCCCAGAACTCCTAACTGGAAGAAGCTGCTACAAACCACTGGCTGTGACCCCCACCCCTCCACCCCTACTGCAGGGTACTGCATGTCAGCAGCACCTGTACAGGGCCCAGAGGCTTGTGCTTCACAAAGAGCATTTCTGCCAGAGAGGATCCAGCCTTGATCTGAAAATCAGGAGATCTATATTCTGCTGCCATCTGCAGCTTGTCCGGTTGCATCTTGCATTAATTCACCAAATACCTGCCTCTGCTGCTTGAGTCCTCACCACCATCTCCCTGTACAGGTTGTGTTGTGCAGGCGGACCACCCCTCAGATAGACCTCAGGGCTGCTAAAATCTGAGCTGCTGCCTCCAGGGTTTTGAATACTGCTTTAGCTCTTTCTTGTGCATCTCCAGGATTTCACAATGTAATTTTAAAGATCTGTAGACCAGAACTGAACTTTTAATTCCATTTTTGCTCACACTGCTTTTTCTGAAAGGATGAGATCTATTGGAGGAGTGTGTTACCCCTACTTGCCACACTTGCTCAAGCAGGCTTACTGCTGGAGCCCCCTGCCAGGTTCATGTTTGTGGCACTCTGGATGCAGGCTTTCATTTCAGAGACGTGGCTAGAACTTGTCATCCAGGTTTTTTTCAGTTTTACATTTGACGTTTGTATATTGTGTTATTGTGCAACTTCTTTTTTATTTCTTTTCTTCCCCACCTACCCCGCTTATGCCGTCCCAGCAGTGGAGGAGCGTGTTTTGGTTTGTTGTTCCTTTCAAATGGCCTCAAGCTGGAGTGATTTGGATTTCTCTGTATAATTGTGCTGTTCTGATTCATATCTCTGCCAGTCTAAGTTATCAGCTCCAAATTTTGAAATGTGTATTTCCATCATTGGAATGATGGAAAAATCATTGGGATTTACACTCTGAAACATCACTCTAAATATTGTGATTTGATGGTATTTTCCTGTTTGCAGGTACTTTTGAGATAGCCCAAGCATTGATCCTATACTTCACTGAATGGCATAACTGAGTGTGTAATTTAGGCCACTGAAGACAAAACGTAGTGGAGTTGGGTGAGATGAAAAGGAAGTAGTTCTCTTATGTTCAGGCAATTTACATGTGTGGTTTGTTCAGTTCTGTTTCTAAGTACGTATGGAACATGACGTTCTTTATGTCTGAAATAGTAGCAGAATAACCTAGTGGTTGCTAAGGTAATGAGAACCCACCGTTCCCTCACCAATTCATGTAAGTAAAGTATGGAATTTAATTTCACTCTGTGTTACCTGAGGCAGCTCTGGCATCTGATAAAAAAAATGATCTTCACATTCTTATCCTCTTCCTTTCTGATTTTCATTGAAATACTGAGATGTTTCTCTTTTTGTAAATAAGTGAGGCTGCCCTGCAGATGGTGGGGTAGAAAGTAGACTAAGAATTACATCTTTTGCCTTGCAGCTGTTTTTACTCTCAAGGTATATTTGTCTTCCTGCTGAAACACTTCTATTGCTTGTGATAGGGATTGAAGATTTGACTGCCATAAGAGTTCTTCTTTCTGTTTTTCTCTTGATGAAGAACTTACATGTTTATTGTCTTTTCTGGTGCTGTGGATTGAAAGCACAGCATGAGCATGAATCCTAGATTTATTTCTTCATCAGAGGAAGGAAGGTTCCTTTCTGATTGTGTATCAAAAAGCGATACGGTAAAACCAGAAATTTGCAAACGCAGGACACCAGTAGGTGAATGACTGAGATGCTTACCTGGTGAAACGATTTTTGACAAGGATTGTCACTACCTTGGGAGTGCAGGCAGCAAACAAAAAATCCAAAGGGGCTCTGACCACTGTGCAACCAGGCAACCCTGCACCCCAGGCCACCTTGACTTCGTAGTGAAAAAAGAGAATCTGTATTGAGCTACTCAGCAGCTGATCAATCACCTGAGTCCACCAGGCTGGCCTTGCAAGATTCTATCTCTTACCTTCATGAAGAGCAAGAAGAAACAGCTGAGGCATAGGATGGAGTTATGCTTGGAGTAAGGGGATCTATTGTAAGAGAAAGGCAGCTTGTTACGCTGCATTATGCACCAGCTGAATAATATTCCTGCTTTTTTATGCTACAAATTGTGAAACAATTAATGTCTTAACCATATCAAATTGATAACAAGTCATGGGTCACTTGCAAATGTAAGTTGCCACAAGTGGGCTATTTTAGCCTAGTAACTGTTTGGATATCAAGACTTTATATTCCAAAAGTCTGTTTGCTCAGAGAAGTGGATCAGCGAGGTGAAGTGGACAGCTGGCATAATATACGGACACTTGAACCTGGAAACGAAAAGACAGCTGCTGGATCTAATTTTAAACATAGGTCTTGGTCAGATCGCTTTAGATCCTGCTTGTCCTGCTGCAGCAAAGTCATTAATGGTAGTAGAGAGGCGTGAAGTTGAAGATACTGATAAAGAGCTTTTGTGAGGAAGGGAATCACCCTTGTTCCAGATATGGTATTTCCATTTTTCACAGTAAGTATTGTTAGCTTCCAGAGAATGGGAGTGGAAATGGTTTCTGGCTGGTACATGGTCTAACGCTGCTGACACGGGCAGCTCTTCTGAGGCGTCTTAATGGGCAGTGGGACTTGCTGTCCTGAAAGTACAAGGGCAGCCAGCGCTGTTTCAAATGAGGAAACTGTAACGGAGTGGGGATTTTCCTAATATTTTAAAATAACACATAGTTACATATCAGTCAGGTTGTAATTCCGAGTTTTTACATCACGGCTCGGGAATGCGGCGGCGTTAGCGGCAGTCTGCAGCTCCATCTAGCGGGGCACGGCAAATCCTGCTTGTTTGGGTTTGGATTTGGTTGGGTTTTTTTATTTATTTTTTTTAGCAAGTACAAAAAATAACCACGAACAATATCGTACCGATAGAATACTTCATTTAGGATTAGCCAGTTAGACACTTCATTAATTCAGCAGCTGGTTAAGTGTTTTCAAGTTTCTGTTTTGCTTTCAGAATGCCATTACCAAGCTGGAGTTTTGTTTGTTTGTTTGTTTTAAAGTGTGTTAGTATTGTTCTGCTTTATTAGGACTATGATGCTAAAATTAAGGGCTATGGAAACATTTCTGGTATTCACTCTCTTTAGGAAGTTAGCTAACCTCTGGGAATTTTGGAAGCGAGCAGCATATCGCTCGTCTGAGGTGAAGATTCCCCTCTGCTAGACCACTCTGTCAACCACGATAGGTTTAGAAGTAACAGCTTTGCTGGTTAATATCTGCTTCAAGAAAGTGAAACGTCCAAATTTTTTAAAGATCTGATTTATTTTCTTTTTAGTAACAAGAAACTTGATGAAATAAGAATAAAGAATAAACATAATTTGCAGTTTTATTACAAAACTTTAAACTGCAACTTGAATTTACATCTGTGGAGCTCGGTTAGGGCAGATAAGTTACTACAATATAATTATATTGTTCTAAAGGCAGTCTACTTAAGATGGTGTGAATCTCCAACAGAGAGAGATAGTCTAAATTAATTAATGATCACATTCAAATATAAAAGCAGTATGCATTTATCTGTCTTTTTTCCTAAGGCTATCCTAAGTGGATAAAACATATTTATTCTAATGTGGCATATAAAATCTCTGTTTAAACCATGGTAAATAGCATGAAAAGAGCTGAGAGAGGTAGCCAGAGCTGGAGTTGTAGGACAGAAGCCATAAATGGCCAGGTAGGAGGTCACATTTCATTTAAGCGAGGCCCCTAATATCAACAGTATTAGCCCAGATAGTATTAGATTTGTGTTATATTAAACCTTCAGCTTTCCTGCCTCCTGCACAAGTGAATGCTGTTCTTGTTGATTGAACTCGAAGGCTTTGAAGTGTCAGCTGCCAAGAGTGGTTTATTTCAAACCTTCTGTCCCACATTTGCCTATGTATCCTTTCTAAGCGTGAATTTTTGTCTGCACCTCCTATTTAATGCTCTTACTGTCAACAGGCTAGTTCAGAAGTACCGAAATTGCAGAACGAAGATCAGAAAGCACGAAACGCACTCTTGGCTGATATCCAGCAGGGAACTCGCTTAAGAAAAGTGACTCAAATCAATGACCGCAGTGCACCACAGATTGAAAGTAAGTATGTGCTCCTCAGCAAGGCCTGAGTGAGCTTCGCTGAAGCCTCAGGTGTGGGTGGAGATCAGCTGGACAGTTTCACACTGAAGGTTTGAAGTTCAGCAAAGGTCTGTATCTTCATATGGCTTTAGGATGCAGAGAGGGGACACTCTCTAAGCTTGCATCCTGCTCTGAGATCAGTAACTATTAACATTTCATGATAAGTCTGTAACTGGATATCTCCTTAACAGGCATTCCTTGTCAAAAAAAAAATAAAAAATCATGAATGATTAAATCCTTGAGAGTTTCTCAATAAAACAATTAAGCAAGAATTGTTGGCTCTAGCAGAAAAATTGTTCTTTACTATATTAAAAGAACAAAAAATGCCAAAAAAATTTGGAAACATAAATTTAATGTTAGGCCTAACACAACTTCTTCTTCTTGGTGTCATGATTAATGCGAGATCAAAGAGCACCAGAGGGTGCTGTGCTCCAAATTACAGGTCCGAGAGTGATGGCAGTTACTGTAGTAACAGTAGAAGGAAAAGTCTGGCCTTGGCCGTTTGTTGGTGCCAAGCCTTAGCAGTCGCAGGGCAAGGATGAAATGATTTTCTGATATACCCTGTGTTTTGGTTCTTTTTAACAGAACCCAAAGGAGCTAACAGAGATGGAGTTAATACAACCGTCAATAAAGGTGGCTCTCAGCAGCCTCTGGGAGGTTTATTTGCTGGTGGCTTTCCTGTTCTCAGACCAGCAGGCCAGAGGGACATGACAGGTAAGGACTTCATTTGTATGAAAGCATAGCTGAGGGGAGCAGTGATTTGGGATAAAAACACTTTGGGGTTAGCTTTAGTGATTGATTTTTATTGGGGTTTTTTTTATGAATCTTTAGTTCATCATGTGACCATGGAGGGCTCAATTAGTAACATGCTTGAAGCCGTCTTTCTAGATCTCAGGTGCCTTATTTGTTAAAATGTAAATAAAAAGCTTTTTTCACACTGGGTAGGAAAGAGATTGAATAGATCTCTTTAACCGAGCTTTTTACATTATTTTAATGAAAACTTCTAATTGTGCCTCAGAGTGTTGAAATCTGAGCTTATCAGTTCAACACAAATGGCAAAGTCATATTTCCTTCTCTGTATTATCATGTATTTCTGTGGTATTACAGTCTTGGTTGTTACTTTAAAGATTCGTATTTAAGATTTTTGCCCTCTGGACTTTACAAAGTATAGTGTTGATCCAGCAAGGTTATTTATTGACCTGAAAAAGTGTTTTGTTGCTTCACAATGACTGGAGGAAGGCAAATGTGGGAGCCCTACTGTTCCTTTCCCCTCAAGAAGTGCCAGCATCAATGAGGGGTGACTGTTAGAGTCACAGGGATGACCTCTGGTGCTGTTGGGCAGCTGGTGCCTCATCAGGCAGCACAGAGCAAAGCAGGCTTTTGCAGGGAAAGACTTTGGTTCTGCCTGCAGGGTTTTTTCTCCTGGAAGGCAAGCCCAAGATGCATAGCACTGCATGTGATAGGGCTTCCTCACATAGCTTCAGCTGCAGCAGCTACTTTGAGTTGTTCTTAAAATTATGGCCATGCCTATGAGACTATGTGAGTATAGAATGAGATGTCTTTTTTGACATCTTGCTTTGTGATAAATCCTTGACATTTACTCAGGAAAATACATTTTGTAGAGTCGACAGTCTTTGGGCATTTGCTGTTGGAAAGAAAATATTTGAACCTGTGCCTCCTGGAAAGCCTTTGAGGCATTGCTTTTAAGAGCTTGGCTTTTGTTCATGGGCTTGAGATTTATGTAAAGTTTATGTGAACTTTTTAATCCTAAGCAATCACTTAATTTCAAGGATGCAATTTGATGTGTGTCAAACTACCTTTTCACCAGGACTCAACGATGCTCAGCTGGCTGTACTAGGCAGATGAGGCTGGTGTGAAGGATCCCAGATCTCTGCAGAGAAGCCCCTTCTCCTTAAACTGTCATTTTGCAGAAACTGAAGAAGAGGGAGGGGGCTAGGGTCTCTCAGCAGTTCGCTATATAACTAAGCAGAATCCCTTGTGCCCATTGGAGTACGTCACATCCTAAGCTCCATTACACCATGGGCAACCTGTTGGATACGAGATGTTTTGGGAGAATTACCTTAGGGTATCCAGCGGGGAGAGGAAGATGAAGACCTTGCTTTTTGCGCTATTTTGTCTGATGAGTGGGAACGCGGTCCTGCAATATAACGTGTAGCATCCTGTTCTCAGCAGGGAGGCCTGGGCAGGTTTCCGGAGTCCGAGCAGCGGCCCCCAAACACTCCGCCCCACCGAACAGCGGCGCTGCCAAGCCGAGCAGTAACTCCTCGCACCCAGCCGAAGGTCCAAGGACAGCTGTGCCCCCAGAGCCTCCCAGCACCTCCCGAGCCGGAGCGGGAGCCGGAGCCGGCCCCGGGCGGCCCAGCCTGCCTGCCCCCCCTCCACCGCCTCCCGCTTCCAGCAAACCTTCCCTCACTTTCCCTCCTCCTCCCCCTCTCCCCCCTCCGGCCGATCGCCCTCCCAAGGGAGTGACGCCCGGCGCGGCTCCTGCGCCCCCGCACCCTCCTCCTCAGGCTGACAAACTCGCCAAGTCTCCAGCAGGCGCTTCACACCCGCCCCAACCGCCCCCTCCTCCTCCTCCTCCTCCCTTGCCCCTCGTTCCCCCCTGCGGGCTGCCGGCCAGGACTGCCGATGTCCCTGCGGCTACCGCCCCTCCAGCCGAAGGGAGGGACTGTCCCCCTCCCACGCCACCTCCCCCCCCCTCCTCCGCCGCCCCACGCCCACCCCCTGCCCGCGAACAGGCTCTCCTTTCCCCCCTCCCCAGCCTTTAGCGGTGCTGACGTGCCCCCTCCGCTGCCCCCCAAGTCTCCCCACTTGCTGTCACAGTTCCATAAGCCAAGCAGCATCCAGTCGCTGCCGCTCCCACCCACCCCCGGCCACCCTCAGCCCGCAGCCGGGACAGAGGCCAGGAAGAAGAGACCCGGCCGAGGCGCAGGTGAGAGCAGCACGTCGGAAGGAGGGAGGCTTTTTGCTCCCTTTGGCAAAACTGGGAGAAATCATAGAATGGTTCGTGTTGGAAGGGGACCTTAAGGATGATCTCGTTCTTCAAGGTCCCCTTCCAACCCAAACCATTCTGTTCCACTCGTGACTGGATGGCTTGGTGGGGTGGGAGTGAAGAGCGCTCATGGGAGGAATACCTGTAGGTTACACCGCATGTCATGAACACCCAAAAATCAGGCTTTTTGAGCTGTCAGGCTGTTCTTAGCACTGGGCACACACATCTTATAATTCAGTCTGCAATTCTTTAAAGTCACATACTGATCCGGAGTTTTAGGACCACTGAGTTGCTTCTTGCTTTTGGTGTGTCTCCAGCTGCATGAGTGGTATCCTGACAGGCTCAGGTAGGGCAGCAGAGTACACACCATGGTGTGTGCCAGGATGGCAGCTGCTCGTGTGTCAGCTAACCCAGGACATTCCTCTACAGCTGTACCCATGCAGGAGCAATATTGGCAAGGGCTGGAAAGATTTATAAGAGATTGGGGCAGCTACAGCCATAGATGAGCAAAAGCAAATCTGGATGCAGCCCTGCTGTTCAGCAAACAGGAACAGCCAGTGCCTCCCATGATCAAGGTGAAAGGGCCAAAGGTTTCTCTGACTACTTGGGAACTAGGGTATTAGCCAGTGTTTCCTTGAGCGGATGGCAGAAGGAACTTTTATCGTATTTCTCTGATGTCATGAAGATGATAAAAAAGATGAGCCTAGATCTGTGTGGGTTTGAGAAATGGAGACAGCTACTTAATAAGGAACATTTGAAGAGAATGTTCTGTACCCTCTATTTTAGCAGCCACATGTCAGAAGAAAGATTACTGGTTCCATGGAGAGCCATGGGAAAGGCTGTGTAAGTAGAGCAGATCAGATGCTCCGTGATGGTGATTAATGTTGCTCAGAACTGTCTGATGAACTGTTACTTCATCAAGACACCCATTTCTCATGGTGGTTCAACTTTTGCAGTTTCCATAAAATTATTCTGCCTTTCCCTTGCTTATCTAGAAGGAGAAGCCGTTTTGAGAGGCTGCTAATTTGGAGGCCTTGGGCTCCCTCCCTCTTACACAAATCTGGTTGTAGGTTTGCCTCGATGTAAACTTCGACAGCACTTGCAACTCCTCAGTGAAATGCATAAGCCTAATGGTAATTCCACTGCATAAGTGCCAAAGTGTCAGGAAATTATTTTCTTTTAGACATACCATCTAGTTTGGTTGTTTTGTTGATTTTCTTTTCTTAAAGAAACTGCTTGGTTTTGTGTCCCTTCCAGACTGGGACAAAACCACACTTCAGAGTGTCACACTTTCCCTAGAACTAGAAATGGAAAGCCTGAGCTAACTCCAATATTGACTTAAATTTAATACTTGATACTATAAATCCATTTGCAGGCTTGACAAACAGCAGCTATGAAGCTGGGTGTGTTCGCCTCAAATACTGCATTCCTTCTACACTCCCTCCATTTTTTCCACAGTTTACTGTCAGGTGTAGGTCATGATGATGTTTATGTGCTGGTTTCCTGCTTCTTTTTAAGGAACTGGTGCTGGGAAGCTGGTCACACCTCCACAACCACCAGCAAGATCCCCAACAACTGAACTTACAAGCAAGTCTGGAGTCTCAGCCTGGGCTACAGCTCATGACCCCTACCCACCACTCAAAAATGGAAATATGCACATCATTGGTAATATCATCTAAATTAGATCTCTTAGCCTTAGTTAATAATTTTAGTACAAAGGCCTGTGTGTGTCTCACACCTCAAAAGCTCACTTGAGACTTTCTCCTAGTAATAGCAGGGTTGTGTAATAGAAACATTTTTGTACAACCTTATACAATTATAGAAAATGAAGGTTTTTTCACAAACGGTTTGAATCAGTCAGTAGAAAAGAAAAGCACAAATCACCTGCAAAATTATTTAAGAATATGAAAAGTTCCCGCATTGTGCTTATATTACCATTCTTAAAACCAGGTCATGGACCTACAGAGCAAAGACCAGTAAGAATTATTTTTGTGGTCTGATGAATTGGCCATTCATTCTTGTTTATAGCTAAGTGGCTTAAAACCCACCAAGGAATACCTCTATTGCCACAATACCATCAATGCACAAAACTGGAAGAAGAAGCAGCTTAACTTCAGTCTTAGCAGCAGGCAGTAATTTCAATAAAGGCAGAAAATTTGGATGGCTCACAGAAGTACTCATCAAGATGGTTTATATGGAATAAACTACTATCAGTTCCAGGAGAAAACAAGTCAGCATTTTTAATTGAAATTACTTGCAGCAACATTGTTGGGTTTTGGTGGGGTTTTTTTAAAGTTTCTCTCTAACAGCAACTAATGTTTACTTCCCTGAAACTTCCCAGATGACTTTGAATCTAAATTTACTTTCCATTCTGTGGAAGATTTTCCCCCACCTGATGAATTCAAGCCATTTCAGAAAATATATCCCAGCAAGATAGCTAGAGGTAAGTGTGTAAACATGAAAAGATCTGATCATTATCAAGAGGATTAAAAATGGGGAGGGAAAATAAAGAACAGAACTAGCATTAAAGTAACTGGGCTGCTAGCGTAGGCACAGAGAGAAATGTGATTTGTCACAGTGGCAACAGAGACCAAAGATATAACGAAAAGCACTTAATTAATTACTTTAAAGACTTAGTAGCTAAAAATAAAATGTGGCTGGACAGGCAGCCTCTATTTTTTAGACTGCTGAATTTGCAAAGCCCTTGATGTTAAAAACAGTGATGCTGTAAAACAGACTTGGCCATCTACTGAGTTGGGTTTTTTGTTCATTAACTTGTGAAATCACAAAAAGAAAGTGACTCGATCCATATCTTCCATCGTGTGTTTTGATTTAAATCCTATGCATAGTAGTAACAAAGGGACTTAGTACCTGAACCTTGTCAGGAAAGTGATAAATGGCTGAACCTTGCTTTTTACTTCTCCCCCTGTAACTTAGAAACCTGGCACCAGGTCACTGTTGTAAGAGCAGAATTTCACCTGTCCGGCTTTGACAGTGGGTAGTTGAAGGTGCCAAAAGATCTCATGCCCATATTCTGCTTTTTATAAAACCCAGTATTCTGTATTATTAGATCAACTATTTGTCTCCAACTTTTAATTAACATGTTTGGTTTTTTCCGTGCTAAGGTATTTTGCGTGACTTGACAGCCTCAGTCAGTCTGAATTGTCTGATGTATGATCTGATCTGATCAAAGACTTGTTACTGAAGGGCTACAGAACATGAGCAATATGTTTGTGCTGTCTGTATATATATATATCTCTATATATATATATCACATCAGAGGTAGCAGATAAATGCAGCATCCCTGATGTATAACTGCATCCAAAATACCTATCAAAAAAAAATATATCTTATCTCCTCTGATTAAATCTGTCCTATCTATTTACAGATCCTTCTAAAAATCCTCCATTAAGAACACATGTGAGATGAGAGGAGTCTGCTGATGCTCTCTGGAAGAGTATTAAAAAAGAACATCAAGATAATATATAAAACAGAAGGGGTCCCCATTGCAGTGATAGTGATTGTATTTGAGTCACAAGTACTGCAATGTAAACATTTCTATGAACTGGAAAAATGGTGTAAATGATACCTTTTTAGCTGGCCTACATACTACAGGAATGTTAGTACAGGCTTTTAAATTATTGTAAATAGGTGGATATTTTTTAAGCAAAGCAGCATAAAATTTAAGTTCTTTGTAGTGTTGAAACAATTCTCATTATCATGCTGACAATGTTATCTCAGAATGTTTTGCATTACATGCCTGTATTTCTTTTTTCCCCTTTCATCATAATTTTAAAGTATTTTGGAAATTCTCCAGTTATTATTCAGACATTTTTTCAATGATCTGTCAAACTAGTGTACTACCTTTAGTCTGTTTTTATGTTCCTTCACTTCTATTCTGCCTATCCTCAGATTGCAGCAGGATGTCACTTTCATGAAGGGACAGGCCCACAATCCTTCTCTCATCAAGCATGAAGAGGAGATGACAAGGAGCTTCTACCTCCTACTGATTACAGATCCTTATAGGATAGTGTCTGAAGAAGACCAGCCTGGGTAGGGTGGTCGTGGATTTGACAAAGATGACAGAGCTTCTCCAAAGTAGAGGAAAAGAAAGTTGCTATATTGTAAGAAAAAAAAAAAAAAGGTGCGTGTGAATACATATGCTACAATGTATGTATGTAAGGGCATGTGTCCTGTCTTTTCCTGCTGGCAAAGTGGATATTTACTGTCACATTTCTGTGAGAGTTTGCCTTTACTCAGCAATTACGAGGCCATTGGATGAGAGGTCCAAACCCCACATTTTAAACAGGCAACTAGAACTACTATTGTTCACCTGCAGTGAGGATTCATTGTCCAAAACACACCACATGGAACAAGCAGTCCCCAAAGTGGTTGTTATATAAAGTTGGTTAGGAAAAGTAACAACCTAGCAGCAGACAAGACTTGAACTTCTGCTTTTAATATTCAGCTAGGGCTAAGGTCCTTGGATCACAGATGTTCAGATCTGGTCCTAAGATGTCTATTTCTCACAAGAATTACACTTACTCCTGTGCATTTCACTGCATTAGGAAGAGTGGTGCCAGATCGAGGGAGGTGATCCTTCCCCTCTACTCAGCACTGGTGAGGCCACACCTGGAGTGTTGTGTCCAACTTCTGGGCTCCCCAGTTCAAGGGAGACATGGCCATACTAGTGAGAGTCCTACAAAGGTGATGAAAGGACTGGAGCATCTCTCCTATGAGGAAAGGCTGAGAAAACTGGGGCTGTTCAGCCTAGAAAAGAGAAGTCTCAGAGGGGACCTCTTCAATGTGTATAAATACCTGAAGGGATGGTATAAAGATGGAGCTGGTCTCTTTTCAGTGATACCCAGTGACAGGACCAGAGGCAATGGGCACCAGCTGCAACAGAGGAGGCTTTGGCTGAACATCAGGAAACATTTTTTAATTGTGAAGGTGACTGAGCACTGGCACAGGTTGCCCAGTGACATTGTAGAGCCTCACTCCTAACCATCTGTACTTGGTCCTGGGCAACTGGCACTAGCTGACCTGCTAGAGCAAGGAGGTTGGACCAGATGAACTACAGCCATCCCTTTCAACCTCAAACACTCTGATTCCCCCTTTTACAGCTTTTCTGAGTTCCTACACCTGGGTCACAATAACCCCATGCAGTGCTGCAGGCTTGGAGCAGAGCGGCTGGAAAGCTGCCTGGCACAAAAGGACCAGGGGATGCTCATTGAGAACTGGCCGAACATGAGCCAGCAGTGTGCCCAGGTGGCCAAGAAGGCCAACAGCATCCTGACTTGAGGCTCAGGGACAACCTTATTGCTATAACCTGAAAGGAGGCTGTAGTGATGCTGGTGGTCAGTCACATCTCTCAAGTAACAAGCCACAGGCTTGAAATGGCCTCAAGCTGTGCCAGGGAAGGTTTAGATTGGATATTAGGAAAAACTTCTTCACCGAAAGGGTGGTGAGGCATTGGAACAGGCTTCCCAGGGAAGTGGTGGAGTCACCACTTAAATACGTGGAGGTATGTAAAAGATGTGTAGATGTGGCACTTGGGGACATGGTTCAGTGGTGGACTTGGCAGTGCTGGGTTAACAGTTGAACTCGATGATCTCAAAGTTTTTTTCCAACCTAAATGATTCCATGATTCACCAACTTGAGAAAGGACACTGCTGTTCCAGGCTGAGTCTGGTGCCAACAGCCAGGCTATTTACAGTTATGGCAATAATTTATATAATTGCCACCAATTCCCCTCAGTTACAGCTGTAATAATGTTATAGATCACAGGTGATCTTTCCCCATGGTGTTGCCTTTGAACAAAACTATTTGGAAAAGACAAGTAACTGCAGCTTTATATATCTCTGCTTTTCTCTTTTAGCAGCTCAGTTGTGCTGTAACTTTATTTCCACACACATAGGTTCATGGTGTGAGATGGTGTAAGAGTAAAAAGCACTTCACCTGTAGGACTATAAGAAAGCAGCATTAGTCTTTTTATAGCCTATTATGATACCTTGCTGTACATCATGGGAAAAGAAAAAAAAATTGGTGATGCTTTGACCAATACTGTCACTGTCATTATTGTAGTTACTTGATAAATATGCATGAATATAGTAATAAACAGGGGTCTGCATATACATTGCTTCTCAAACAACTGGAAAAGTTTAATAGTGCTTTAAAAGTGCTTAACTATTTTGTTATAGTACTATTAAAGGTGATGTTTTGTTGGTTCTCACTTGTTCTGAAACTTGTGTACTGCTCTGTAATAAGTAACTTCATAGGGATTTTAAAACTATTTAATGCTAGACTATCTGCCAGAAGATATTTGAAGAAGAAAAAAATTTTACTCCATTTTTGTTATGCTTCAGGTATTTTAGAAGCAAGCAACATCTTTCAGGGATTAAATTAGAAATCCTGTGCATATTTGCAAGCATTGGTGAAATGTTATTTCCATATCTGTATCATTCAAGATCCATTGAAGCTTCTGGAGTTGCTATTACCTGGAGATACAAAGAATCACAACTGACTGTCACCCTACAGCAATTGGTCCCACAAGTCCTATTGAGCCACAGCTGTGCTCAAGACCACTGAAATTGTAAGACCATGGGGTTGCTCTGGTTCCTACTGATTGCACCCAACTATGTTGCGGTAACACAGTACATGTTTTTTAAAAAGCTCTACACCACTGAAGCAAAAGCAATACAGTATTAGAAAATTACTACCTGGATCTCTGTGCTCAAAACAATTTATTAGTTCTGTCATATAAGCACTTCCAAAGACATAAACTCCCACAACAACGTAAGTGCAAATGTCAGTTTCTTCTGTCTTAAAAAAACAGGCAAATAAGATATATTATGTTTTTATAAGGAACACCTTTCATCTTGCCTCCCTCCCAACTCTCAAATGTCAGAAGTTGTACAAAATAGCTGGGTGAAGTGACCCTCTGACTGGGGCAGTGATTTTATCCCTGTTCTCCCCTTGTTTACAACATCCACCAACAGCTGGATGCAACAACTCACAGAAGCAGAAGCAGCTTTAAAATTCACCGTGGTGTTTGTTAAGTGTACTCTGATTAGGAGTATTTTTATTCAAAGTACCCTCTCATTCCAGAAGTGATTCCATGGGAAATCCATTTACTTTACTTACGGGTAGCTGGCAAAAGCACACTTCTCTTTCAGAGGGTTTCATCCAGCACAATACCCTCTGAAATGAAGTGTGCTTTGTAGTCAGTCCCTATCCTGGCTACGGTAGAGAGCAGCTAAGTTTCAGGGTTTACTTGTGAATTTTCTCCTTCCCTTGTCTCCACTTTCAGAATAACTAGGCACAGGAGTTGGTCCTGTAATAGAGAGCATGGGAGGAGTGTATTGTGAATGGGAGATTAATAGGTAGGACTTAAGAAAAAATATCTTCATGCTTGTTTTCTGTAAGCAAAAAGGCCCAATGTTTTCTTGTCCAATTGCCAGTTGTCATATAACGCAATATCAAAGTAATGAGTCTGAATAGAACAATTTCATTTAGAAAATCCTGAGAATGCAGTGCACCAATATGGCAATGACTATTTCCCTGATGCACAACTCTTACAGTTTCAAGTTGAGGTGTTGCTGCCTTCTAAGGAGCTTTTGCTTCCTCAATACAGAAGTCCATGGTTCTTCAGCATCCACTTTCCTGAACAGTGAAGGATTTTAACTCCACGTGCTAACTTCCACTTATTAAAGACATGGACTTGTCTGAACTTCCTGTTTAAACAAAAACCCAAACATCTTCATCAGACACAGGAAGCAGTGTTTACTGGTTTAATTCTCAAAGTGTTTGCCCCATTTCACTTCCACAAGAAGAAAATACATGAAAAGCAGGTCTGCCTGTAGGACTGTCGGGGAAGGGAAGCATGCTGCAGAACTGCACTTAATGTAAGGAAGCATAAGACAGCCATTTCTAAGCCTAACCAGTTGGATTGCCACACCCACCAGTAACTCACTGGTACTGAGTGGATTCATCAGCCATGTATCTCACTACAGAGATTACTAGGAACTGTTCAGCAGTACAAAGGCAGAAAGATGGAGAACAGCCAGGTGTTGATCAATGTCCATCCAGCATTCCTTCAAAAAATTCCAAATTTGTAGCTTGCATATAAATTCAACACCTTATTAATTGCATCTTAGGAGCCAATAGATGATGTGTAGACATCTTGGCATCCAGGCTGGCTCTGCATTTCAGTACTTGGTACTAGCACAGCAGCCCGGTGCCCTAAGCTAAGTGAAGGCAAAACTTAACCTGGGGGACTTGGTTCTGATAATTTGTGCAGGCATTATGTCAGGTGCTGAATTGCTGTAATCAGATATGCCCATTTTAGGCCAGCACAAGGTCAAGAACCAGGACTTACCCTCCTGCCTGCCTGCAAAACCAGGATTTGAACTCCATCATTCTCTGTATGAATTAGCAAGAAGAGAAAAATGCAAGTCAGCTTTGCTGCAAGTCCTGAGCAAAGGAGGGAAAACCAGATTGCTTTCAAAAACAATATGGAAGTTAGCCTGATGAAGTTAATCTTTGCTTTAATTGGTTGCCCAACATACACGTTTAAACATTCTGTACTAAATTAGCCAGCATGCACACAGTAATTGGACCAGTCAGTGACTTTCTCCTTTCACTATATACATACACAAACAGAAACACCACAAGATTGGACAAAGGAAAGCAATTTGTTAACCGGATACAGCTAGCAAGTAACATTTTTTCCTCTAGAAATGTTTTTTCCTGCAAATTCACAAGTGTGAAGACTTTCTTTCAAGGCTTGAAGAACATTGCAGTCTTCCAGTGAAAAGGCTAACAATAGCCACCATAGCTGAAATGAGATAAAATTTGTTGAAAATCCATTCCAAGCAAGAGCGAAACTGAAAAAACAGTTGTCCGCAATGCAGCATAGGGAAAAGGGACTTTGGATACCATTTGAGCAGGTAGAAAGGTGGCTTTGGACCCGATTCTGAACACCCTTAGCTTAATGTAAAAGAGAAGGAGGAGATGCAGAATCGGATCCAATATTTCACTGGTACCAAAAACTAAATATCTAAAGAATTAAAGTGTTTGCTTACTTTATTTGAAGAACTTTAGTTCTGTGTCAACACAGTCATAGAAAAGATCCACTACTTCAGCAGGATCCAGAATCTCTGTACGAGAAAGGATATCTTCCATTGCTTCTAAACCTTGTTTTTCAAGGTCTAACATAATCCTCATCAGTTTCTGACCTTTATCCTAAAGGCATGAAACAACCAAATTCAATTAACCAGCAAACAGGCTCATTAAAGCATTTTATTGCTCTCTTCTGTTATAGAGATATTTTCAAATATTTTTAAAAATTAGAAAGCCTTTTTAAGTACAAACTATTTCTATTATTAGTTTTTTGGATGCCCAAAGACTAAAAGGAACAGTGCTGGACACTTTGTGCATTAAGAAAAATAACAAAGAAGGAGTTGCTAAGTTGAAAGCAAAGGAGGAAGATGGTGAAAGATGGATAGAGGAAAATGGTACAATGCTTGTTGTACATATGACAAAGAGGTAAAGCAAATTCTTAAGCCTGTAAGCCCACAAACGGAAGTATATGAGAAGTCTAGAAGCCTTAAGAATTGTACAGATAGTGGTATTCATATGTGTATCCCTGAAATCAACACCTGCACGATGATGAATAGATCTGAAATGATGTGTCATGTAACAGTATCAAGACTCCACATCCTGGGGAAGGCTTTGTGTACCATTCTGACGTCCTGCTAACCATGTTTCTAGAAAATTCATGTTTCAAGAAAATTCACTCCTGGAAAAGGTACCATTTTGTTTTATCCAAATATTACTTAAACTCTACCTTTTTCTCTTTTTTTAATGGAGAAGTGCTGTTTGTTTTGCTTGCAGCTTTCAAAATTGAATTCCACAAAAAAAAAAGTCATTCTAAATGAGTGATAGTTCTGAGCTTTCCAGGATTTATACCAGCATTTTGTCCAGAAAGAATAGAGCACCTCAGCTAAGGTTTAGACTCTCAGGTGGGCAGCTTTTATAGCATGAAGTCTGACTAAAACTACATTTACTTCTCCACCACAACTACTGGTGTCATGCTATGGGGACTTTAATAAGTTCACAAGATACTAAGATGCCTCTTCTAGGTCTTCCCTAAATCAGCATCTTGCATAATGATACGAGAGTCAGCTGCACATTGAGTCAGTGTTACCACAGAGACCACAGATTTTAAATTACACCATTCCAAGGGATTAAAAATGGCATCTCACCAAAACTGCATTTAAATAAAGTTTGTACTAGCAAAGGTAATCATAGTTTCCTTAATCAATCATGGATAAGTATGAACGCTGTTATTATCTTAGCAAGACTGAGCCATGCAAACACACACAGAGGAAAATTGCAGAAAGCAATTACGTCCTCTGTGGAAGTATAACACAACTACGTGAGAGTCTTCCACATTTTGCCTGAGATACCAACAAAAGCATGACTGGCATGTCCTGGTGATATCTCCCTCTGTTTCACTTTCTCATACCCACTTGTCCAGTTCACTGCTGTAGTTGTAATTCCAAATGTCAAAGAAGCTGTTGAACTACCTGCCCAATGACATCAAAAGTGATATCTCAACCAACTGGAAAAGCTATACAGAACAATTCCCTTCCTGCCTTTATTTGTTCCAAAATCTATTTCTGTAAGAGATCTTCAGCACTTTAGGCTTTACAATGGAACGTTTTCAGCCCTCAGGTACTTATTGCATCACATTGGAATGTGTTGTTTCTTCTCACATGGCATTTTCAGTTAATTCTTAAAAATTAACAGAAATGCATTAAATTGCAAAATGTGCAAAACTGCAAGACTTGCAAAACCGTCATGTACAAATTATTCCTTCAAGAAAGACATCTTTCCAAACTAGGTAGTTCTTAATCCAGCATATAATTTATATTACAACACTTCTGCCACCATCCTAATTTTGACACCATGTTGCACTAGCATCCAGTGTCCTAATCACTAAAAAGACTATACGCACAGTGAGGATTGAACAAGCTAACCAGCTTGTCAGTTTGACTTTTCATTTTGTAAAAATAATGGAGCAGAACAACACTCACTGGATAACAAAGATCCCCATACAGAATAGTTTGTCCTTCAGAGGGTGTCATTATTCAAGTTAAACTTGCAAGGATTCTAAGAATATTCAGAGAATGTTTTTCAGTTAGTGACTTAGATTTAAATTATGGAGTTAAGAATCTACATTTACTTCAATTCTTTAAGTCCAGGTCCCACACCTCTTACCTGATCATTCTCCAGGAGAGACCGGGCCCATTCATGTGCCTTGTACAATTCATGCCTACGATCAGGTTTCTCCTGGAATCGAGGTATCTTTTTAGCAGGATCATCATTGCCAAAAGAAGGAGACTGTACTTTTGGTACTAATTTTACATCATCAACAAAAATAAAGGGTTTAAATATGGACCTGAAAGAAATGAGAATTACTGTTTGCAGTAATAAGAGAGATTTCACATATGTCATTGAAATACTTACCAGGCTATTTTAAAACAACACATACAGAACAGCATAGATAATTCATCTACACTAGGCATGGATGAGGTTAGAGAGTTGGTACTGGTGACAAGCAAAATATATCTATGTGCTTTAAAAGAATTGGGTTTGCCAATTATTGTAAAACCTTACCACTCTTTTTTACCTATGGGCTTCTCTTGTGTCCTCCATGCCAGTTCTGCCACTTCTTTAGAAGAGTAGCACTGCTTTTCCTCTCCAACTTTTTTTAAAAAAAAATCTCAACATTCAGCCTCACATCAGTTTTTCTTATCTGTTCATATTGCCATCTCTCCTTCTCATTCCAAATTTAATTTTTATTAAAATCACAAATGCACACTTGTGTGGAGCAGGGAAGATTACATATCTTGCTCAGAGGATTTAGCATATAACTGGCAGCACTTTGGAATTTTATTTCAAGAGGTGAGGAGAGACATGAAGACCAATATTATGACACTTCTCAAACAACTTCAACACTGAGTTTGGACCTAAACTCCATATATAGAGAGGAACAGACAAAAAAGCCCCACCCATACAGGATCTTAATTCCTGAGAAGCTAAGAGTAGATGTTGGCAAGTGCCTGGGAAAACTGCCTTCCTTCCCTTTAGGTATAGAAAAAAAGTGCCCTGCATTCTGCAGTGAAGAACCTGCCAGAAATGCAAGACTTCTGCAACACAAGATTAATAACCACTGCCTGCATACAGTCAGCAGGTTGACTGCTGCTTACCCTTCCATCACTGTCACAAAGCCTTGCTGACTAAGAGTTTATGTGACTCACTAGCTGCATTTAAAATAATGCTTTTTTAATTCATTTAGAGTGCAAAAAAGAGCAAGAAAGGAGTCTAAACAAGACTTTTAAGCTAGGATCTCCACATTTAAAGAGACAGAAATACCACCAAAACAATTTGAAGCCTTGTTCCTTTTTATCACAAAGGATTTACATCAAGTCAAAGAAAAGTTTTGATAAGGAAGCTCAAACTTCACGCTTAATCCTGAATGTTTGAGTTGCATAATGCAAAGCGGGTGAAAAGTCTCTTTGGCATGGATGACTTCCATAGACCTCAACAGAACCTAATGCTTACTACTGCTCCTCTTACAGGAATGTCTGTAAGCTGTTCAAGGGCACCATTTTCTTCTCTCCATAACCTCTTCACCTCAGTGCAAGTGGCAGATCTCCTGAATAATTGCAAGTGGTTTAGTTTAATTTCTGTGGATACTGTTTAAAGCACAAGATAAATAATTATTTCTTTGATGTTCTGACCCATGAGTTCCCTTGTCTCCTCTGCTGCTTTCAGCTAGAGAGGACACTATGTAAACCGACTGGAAATTGTCCCTCCAATAAAAAACATGCTTGGGATACCAGGAACTTACAGATGTTTTGCTGTGTTAACATTCTGATGTCATAAGAGGCTACCTAGAATACACAACACCTCTTTCCTGGTTAAGACACTTTGTTTCAGTCTTGCACCCACCTCTCAAGAAAAGTGACTAAAATGGTCCACAGTCTCATCATTTTAACAACCTTTCTACTGGAAAGCAACTACACTGAAATAGTATGTAATTCCTGGGTCCTCCCTAAACTGTATTTATCCTAGAAGTTCTGAATTCAGGCAAAGTTCTAGATCCAGTCATTCAAGCCAGTGGTGTCCATTTAGAATTGCAGCAAGATGCAGTTCAGTAACGCAGGACTGTCAGATTGCACACCAATAACTACTGACTGCATTTCTGGTTAGAACATGGTCTTGAAACATGTTCCCATTTAGGTAGCAGCATTTGTTTATTATCTTTCAACCCATCATCTGCTCTGCACCCCAGGGACCCAAATGCTGTGGCTTACCTTGAAGGGTCTGGCGTGCCAGTGAAGTAATGAATACAGGGAAAACTAGGGTCCTGAGGCAGAACAGACACTATGCTAGCTGTAGTAAGGAAAGATTCAGAGTCCACACAGACACCACTGTCCTTGTCACGCAGGACATCAATCATAGCTTGTGCAGAAACGTCACCTATATGAGGGGGGGAAAAAATTCCTGAGTGTTCAATGGCTTGGACCCCAGGTAAGGATTTCAGCCTGAATGGGCTTTGGCCTACTATGGCCACTGACGCTTGACATGGGCTTGTCACAAATCCCAGTTAATAGTTTCTACTTAAACAGTGTACATGCAGAATGAACTTGCCTAGCTAGTAAAAGAGAACAATAGGAAGAGAACATTAGGCATTACAATTGCTAGGTAGGGAGAAATGTCATTAAAAAGGTATTTTTTCAGGAAGCAGGCCATCATGTCCAAAATGCTGCTTTAGCAGTCACTATGAACAGACTACTTACATAAAACACCCATTTTCCTCTACCCAAGCCCGGGCAGAATGGGAGCACCCTGATCTCCCACTTCTCATCCATTTACACTATTTCTCAGTCAAAATTCTGAAACATCATCCTGCATTCACAGAATGTTACAGCAGCAGACATAGACAACTGAGATTTCTCTCCAAACCACTATCTACAAGAATCCCCTGTTCTCATTCTATTTCCTGCCCATGTCTTATCACATTTTTCCCCCCATGGCAACACCACGTTTTCTTGCATTAGCCCTTTGGCAGGTAGGGCTTCCTCCCCAGTAACTCCTCAAACCCTGCACTGACTCAGATGCACAGGTGCCTCAATGCACTAGAAGACATGGAATGAATCAGCAGCCTGAAAGATCTGCAGCCATAGCCATCTGCCTGTAGGAGCCCTAAGGGTTTTTAATGCTATAATTCAGGTGTAGTAATATCTTTTACCTATAGTCCTTCAGAGATACTGTGTCTGCCTTAGACACAAAACATGCTACCTGTAATTCTACAGCCTTAGCAGGAATTCTGCATTACAATAAATATCTCACCTCTGCACTCTTCTTGATGTTTGCCAACGTGCAAAGATGCCAACAATTTAGTAAATTCACATCTGTAGTAAAGGGCTTTTTAGAAAATGATAATTTGTGCTATTTTTCACACATGAAAGAACAGATATATGTCAGCCATGCACTGCGGCAGGCTGGTTATTTCAGAGGTATTCTGGCCAGCTGCAGTGAACTGAAGTCAGTAATAAATCTGGGTCTGGAAATAAACCCTTCCTTTGACTGCAGGGAATTGGCACATTGTCAGTCCTAGTAACTTTGCTCAGCTCAAGAATGAAAAAGGGACTTCAGTTCGCAACTGACTAGCATTGCTCTTCCTTAAACTGTGATCTTAATCCTTTCCCAAAAGGCTAAGCTAACCTCCCAAAATGTAGATTCCACTGAGCTCAGTCTTTCATATGTAAAACCAATTTTTTAATACTGTAATTTTAGTATTAGGTAGGCCACTATGATTAGAGCAAAGCACAAATGCAACAGCACACCATGCACACCAGAACAATAGTGAAGAAAGATATTTTATAATTGCAATGCTGTTTTGAAACCTTGAGGGGGACATTAAGGGCTTCATCCTAAATCGTGGCATGTTTAGGGACAACCTTCAGTTCTGAATTTCTCTTCTACATGGTTTACATGTAGAGGTATTCTCAGTCACGTGCAGCTCTGGACAGAATTCCTGAAAAGGAGGCAATAGTGACTAAAAATCCCACTGCCCACACAGAAAGATGGTTCAACACTTACCACCTTGCTTTTCTAGGCTCTCCCTGCCAGAACAACAGGCTATATGGTCATCAGCAAGAGAGAACACTTCAGAAAAATTGAAGTCTGAGTCTCCATTCCACCAGCCTTGACTTTTCACATAATTCCTTAGTTCAGGATGCTCAGCATCAATTTTTGTAGTTAATGAAAGCTGATTGCAAATGCATTTCACCCCCTCTGTAGAAAGGTCACATATTAAAAAGGAGCATTAATGCGGTTTTTCTGTGAGAAGCTGGAGGGAAAATGTCTTTTCAATTACGAAACAAATTAAACCATTGGTTAGGATGTACGTTTGGCATAACTACACAACTACACATACACAGAATTATCAGTCACTGCAGACTGCAGAGCTCAATTCTCTGTGCCCTACTGAGACACACTGTTACTAATAGTAGGATTTAGTTAGAATGCCAGTTTCACAATCTGTACCTCACATGTTCTGACCATGAAGTAATAATGATATCTAAATGCCAAAGGCACCTGCCTAACCTTTTTTCCAAGGGTGTATGCCACAGCCACAACAAGGCTTAAGGTCTGACTTGATTTCAAAATATATTTCAGCAGAGCTGCATTTACTGAACCTGCCTTGCCCTTCAAAACTGAGAATTTGGAAAATGTTTACCAACTTGCTTCAAGCTTCCCAGTAGAAAAACAGTTTTATTGTAAATTAAATTTTTTTATATTGAATTTTAAAACGGCATGAAGTAAAAAGGAAGTAGAAGTAGCCTTCAAAGAATATTAAAGGTTTTTTAACTTCCTTTTCTCAAAAACACTGCAGTGCTTATATCCATACATCCACAGCATGAGTAACAGTGGTTGCTGCAGATACTCCTCAGAGAGAATAAAGAAAATGCATTGGAAGCCAGAGAAAGAGCTGATAAAGTAAATCTGTAAACTAAAGTAAAAACCGATTCTGGAATTTGGCACAAACCTTTTCTTAAACAGAAACAAAACCACTAGTTGTGAAAGTTTCTAATACTGCCTTCCATAAAAGTAAGCTTGCTTTTGTAATGCCTCATGCATGCAATTTAAATAATGGGTAATAACTTCAGGAAGTTACATGCATCAGTCTGTAGAAAAGTCCCTGTCATTCAGTTCTGACTTATACTAGAGTCACTGGCAGCTTGTTCTGATGCACTCTTTCAAACAGCATACTTTTCAGGGAATTTTCTTGGCTTGACTGACAAGAATATTTGTGTTTGTATCCAGCTAGACAAGCCACTATTTAAGAGCTCTTTAAAATATCTAATAACTCATATAAAATAGTATTTCATGGGTTTGATCCCCTCAAAAAAAAGAAAATTTATCAATCAAATAAATTATTTCACTCAGACTAAAGAACAGTAATAGAAAGGATTTTGAAGTGTTTATTCTTAAATTAATGTCAAAGAGTTGCTAGATAAATACTTACTATAAGCTTTACAGTACTGCAGCAGTACCATTAGAAACAGAACAGCTCTGAGGACAATCAGGGAAAAAAATGCCTTCACACTGGGGAATGACACATTTTCCCCATTTTAATAGCATTTGTGCATTCATTGGAAAGCTTAAGAGGCACATTTATGGTTGCAAAAAAGAACTCCCTGAACAAAGTACAAAATATAGAGTTCTTACATAGCCAGCAGCTTTTCCTCCTGGCAACCTCGGCAGGCTGCAGGAGATGGAAACTACTTATCTGTGGCTCACAGGGACCTCCTGACGAGAAATGTGCTCGTCAAAATCAGAACAGAGGCTGCAGTATCATTTCAAAAAGCTGCAAGCAGCAGATGAAGGCAACAGTTTATAAGCTGGGAAGAAGGACGTGAAGGTTATGTATTGCTGATGCAGCTAAAACTGCTAAATAAAACCCACTGTTCTTCAAATATTGGTCAGGTAGGTCAAGAGAAGGCAGCAGGTTGTCCTGCATAATCACAGGAACCTCAGGAGCCAGCTGTCTTCCAGAACTGGGATTTTACCAAGACAGCATTATCAGTCTTCCCTCCTCTATGTTTGGTATCTGTTCATGCCAGAAGACTTCCTCCATCTTGTAGATATCCTTAAAATGCAAGCTTTGCTTGGGAAAACACTCTCTGCTAAGGTAAGCTGATTCCTATTTGATGATATGAACTGACAACAGGCCATCACACAACATTGCACAGTCTGGTGTTACTTCTTTGCTCCTCTCCATATCTGCTACCTCCTACCTTCCAGTGAAGGGGAAATGAAGAGAGAATTGAATGGATCTGTCACAGCTCAAATCATGGATGACAAGAGTCCTCTTAAATTATCTGAATTCTTAACTCATTCAAATGTGAGTAAATTTTAAAAAGCTCTACTCTTATGAAAATAAAAATCCCATCAAAATTAAAACCAGCAACTGAGAATAAATTAGATATAGGCCTTAGACAATCATGTTACCTTAAGGCAGCCCACATTTGGTGGAAAAGTTTCAAATAAGTTCAACCACTAAGCCAGTGAAATCTAGAAGTTAGTTTGGCAGTTCTGGCTTCACACATACAAAAAAAGAAACCATTTACAAGCTTAAAGAGCAGCAAAGTATTGTTTTGCATTATCAGTTAAGAAATGGGGATATGAGGGGACTATATCTATTGCAGTAAAGCAACCTGTATCAGTGCATTCAATTTACCACCTAACACAAGCCCTTTTCTGAAAACAATCAATGTTTATCTTTCCTTCATAATATTTTAGATTTGTAAGTAATAATTTGTGCATAAACTCCTCAAAAAGATACTTAACAGGTTTCAAACAGTAAATAAAACTGGGAAAATATACCTATCAAATATAAAAATTTAAGCATGATGATTATTACATAGTTTATGTATAAAGACAACAATCTTCAGCTTCACAGAAAATGCTAAGTTACATCAGCTAATGCAAATCAACATGCTAAAAAATCAAGAGTAGTACAAATAAAGAAAATTCAAATTGGCAATTTAATCAAACACTTGCATTCATTAATCACTGATTTAAACCCAGTGAATATAAGATGAATCCTTCCAAGACAACTCTTTACACCTATTTATAGTAAGAGAGGCTTGCTGGCAGTGATAAACTGACCTGTGATTTTTTCTGCTGCCCAGTACTTCCCAGAAGTCTCCAGTATCCAGGCTTCATTTCTGTCCACAATCAAAAATGCACTTTGGAAAGTATGGCATGAACTCCCATCTTCATAATAATTTCCACCTTGTCCATGCTCTTCCAACAGAGCAACTATTACATCCAATGCTTCTTTAGCTGTTGCACCTCTTTCTAGGCCAAGTCTATAAGAAAAGGGTAAAACAGATATTCTGAGACAAATGTAACAGCAAGGTCTTGTTATTACTTTTAAACATCAGCACTGATCCTGTTTTAAAATACCAAAGTGTCAAGTACGCCTGGTGTAAGAATTCTTGCTTTAACGAGTTACTAGAATTAAAGGATAAAATATTGAGTTATTTATTTCTAGTCTATATTTTCTACAGTGGTTCTTTATTCCCAAGACTATCACAGCTGGCTTTTAGTGTTTACTAACCAGTGGTCTTATCTGCACCGCAAACATGCAATGCTCTATTTATCCCCACCTCAGGCAGAAAAATTTGAAGGACAATTTCCAAACATCTTTTTAAAGTAACAACTATATCAAGTTTACTTTTCTGTAGAAAAGCAGGAAATCGTAAATTACTATTACCAGTAAATCAATATTACCAGAGACCAAAAAAGGGAAGGAGTATTACAACCCCTTTACAACCTCTCTTTACCAATACTCCAGCATTAAATTGGCCATGGAAACTAGATGTTATCCTTTTATGCATACTGCATACTGCAGACAGAAGTATTTGTGCACAGTCATACTCCAGTGTTCCTGCAGAGACTTCCTCAAAACACCATTTAAAAACCAGATACGCCTTTTGTCTGAAGTAAAAGTAACCATATGTCTAAAAGAACAATTTTAAAAGGAAGTTTGAGCAAAGCAAGGGCATTTTAAGGAACAGGAAACTAAGGCATGATAATAGGTTTTACAAAGCCATAGGGAATGACTGTATCCTGCCTTGAATAAATGGGATTATATAATCCCTTGAGATAATTTACAGCCCTAACTGAGTCAACAATAAAAGCAGTAACCAGAAAAATGTCCAAATCAGACCTGTAAACAATTCCACTACTTCCAAAATGCAATTACTGGTAATGAGGAAATGCAGTATTTCAAAGAACAGCATATCCATGCCTCCATCCTTTGGGAGAGTTACCTAGATCAGCCCAAAATTTCTCTGCTGGTTACGTTACCTTAATATTTTCCTCTGAGTTTGTCTTTCTCTAATAACTCTATGGACAAAGTAATTTTGACTGATGGATAATTCCAAAAAATTCAGCTTTTTAAACATAAGTACTGCGCTAGCTCTTTCCATTTCCCTGGAAATGACGAGAGGAAAACACTACTCTGTTTCTTTCCTAAAAACTATAGTACACAAATGAGGTCCCAATAACTTGAATACAGATTTGTTATCTCAGCACTTTTCAACCTGATCTCTGCACTAGGTCTGCTTTGTTAAATAGTGGCTACCATTAGCCTTGTTTTAGGTTGAATTACTAAAAGCAGTGTTTTCATCTCTCTCAGCAGCATGTATTTATCACTTAGTGAGAAAGAAGAACCAAGAGTCAATTAGAATTGACTCTAATTTACAGCGACAACTGCTGTCGCCTTGTTTCTCTTGTTAGCTGAAACTTGGTTTGTATTGTTGACTCCATTTTTAGTCCCCATGCATTTATGTTATTTCTTTATCACTGGTGCAATTGCTTTTTCAGACCAATACTGATATGCCAATCTTCACACATACCACAGACATAATTTAAGAGCCAGTCCAAAAGCATGTCTTATTTCCTAAGAACATCCAGGAGCTGTCACAGCCACAGTTACATGAATGGACTGAAAACTACCTTGGTGATCATACAGACACTAGATTCAGGGATAACCTGCTCCCTCCTTCCCAGTTAATGACCAAAACCAATAGGTTATGATCAGATCAAAACCTGCCAAGAGACATAACTTCACACTTTAACTTTTAATAATGTCTCCCTGAAATTTTTCATTTGAGATGGTTATAGTCTAGCTTTCTCTGTCAAAACCACAGCAGAGATTCAGGATAAAGAAGTTTCTCTTAGATTTTTTTTTTTTAATAAATGGCTTCAATGTTACATTTATTTCTATTTAACAAAGGTCTAGGCTCTGCTTTTGTTTGGCTGCTCCTATCTGTCAGTCACAAAGGATAGCAAAAAAACCAAGAAAAAAAACCAACACATCCTACACAAAAACCACACAACTCATCTTCACAAACCTGTAAGTCTTGCCAGTTATCTCAGCATCAGTGTCCTGGGCAACTGCAGCATAACCCTCCCACTAACACATTTCAGAGTGCCTTTTAAGGTGAGCTGGAAGCAAAGTTTGAAGTAATTTCACCCCCAGATAAGAGTTTGAATTAGTCATGAATAAAATTTCAGTGACTTAGTACAAGCCACTGCCTCAGTACCTACAATATGCTATCGCATTGTCAAAACAACATTATCTTAAGCTTTTCAACTTCACCTATTAATTATATATGCAGGCTTTCCAAATTAAGTAGCTAACATACTTGATGACATTCTACTAAATTCAGTTTTGATGTCTCTAAGGAAAGAAATTGGTAAACAAATTAATACCATTTTAAAGAGCATTCTTGACTGCCTGCCAAGATTGGCATCTCTGTGTGGCTCTGAAAAAGTTATTGCACCTGTGATGAAAAGAACAAATAAATAATACAAACACATAGGGATTAAAATTAAGACAAAAGTGCAAAAATAAGGATGTATTTTACAGGTTTCTTCATATATACCTTTTGTATGATAATCCTGTCCTGTTCTAACTGTATAAGCATAAGCAAAACACAAATTCTTCATATGAATGTACTTCCCTAAGTAAACAGATGCTTTATAGAGGCAACTGTGCCTTAAAAAAACCCCAAAACTGCAGTCACACTAGGAAGAATATCTGAAGAATACCCTCATAAACTAACCAATGCAGAAATAGTGGTACAGCTTTCAAAGACCAGCTTTTGATTAAATCCCTAGAAAATAAAGGTTCCTTAGGAATTTGTGCTGAAACATGTTTTCTCTCATTTTTTCTGTCAGTTGTGACTAGGTTCATGTTCTCCATTTAGATTAACTGGGATGGGGATCAGTCTGCATGGAATAGGACCAATTTCTAACCCTGAAGTCAATCATACAAACTTTATTAATTTCTTAAGAATCATTCAAGTGTTCTGACACTCTGTGACACTCTATCAAGCTACAACTCTGTAAAAATCAGCCTTAATCTTCAGATACAGCAGTATATTAGGTAACACAGAGTTTTCAGTCACTAAACCAGCAGCCAGTTGGTAAACAAGCTAAAATCCTTGTGAAGCACATCTTTACTGATGTCCATTGTGATCCTTATTGAAAAAAAGCCTTTGTCTATAAGGTTACAGGAATAATTTTCAATTTCCTATTTCAACAACAAAATGTGCTGACTTCAGAATTGTACTACCCTGTACTACCTCTGGCCTGTTTAACATCATGTTCTCTCACAGCACCCACCTACAGCCTTTGCCCATGTTGGCTGGATTTTAAACCCAACTGAAAAGTGGCAATTTCAGATGAGTTCAAAGAGAGAGGAAGTCTCTCCTATGGAAAAAGAATAATCCCTCCAAGACAATGTAGAAGCAAATTCGTAGGGGAGCCTGAGCATTCAAGCAAACTTTGATTCTACTACCTGAATGACATTCCTGTGTTGACAACTCTTACGTGTGCTCTAAAGAACATCTTTCAGAGTATGAAGTTTTTAGTTTCTTTTGCAAGCTGCCAGTCCTATGCAGACACAGAATGTCAGTCTTCATGCTTCAGCTAAGATCTGACAGAGATGCACAAGTCCAACATATACATAGGTGTGAGACAAAAACTGTCCAGCAGATATGTGCATTTCTTAATTAGGCTTCAAATGCCTGTATATTTTTATTCCAAGACATCCAGTCCAATGGAATTAGTCTGTTCTGCAGGTGGGTAAAAAGAAGCAGAACTGGTGCCAGCTGCTTCACTGCAGCCTACTTGAGATTGATTTTGTACTTGATGGCTCTCTATTTGATGAGGTGACATGAAATAGATAAGCTTAATGCAACTGGCCAAGTCTTCACCGTAAGAAAAAGAATCACCTTAGCTGAAACAAGCAGCATATGGTAGCCTGTAACACATCTCTAGTTCTCCTTGCCTGAAGCACACTCTCTCTGAATTTGAGCTACAGAGAATTTCTTCTGCAGGTAAGAAGAAAGAGAGGGAGGGTAATATCTACAGGAGTGTAATATCTACAGGTGATGATTACTTATTGTTTATTACCAGTGCCTCCTTATTTTGATATCTCCTGGTTTGCTAGTGTGGGTAAATCTAGAGCTGCTGGATAACATATATTTGAATGTTAAACAGTAATTTGAGACTGAAATAACTGACAAAAATAAGCAGAACTCTACATTTAAACCAACAGTTTGTCAAAAGTTTCAAAAGGATGGTAGTAGAAGAGAAAAAAAAAAGGTGGAGCTTGGAAAGTCAGCTAATATATCCCTTTCCTTGACAAAAGCTTTTCCTATATTTTCTTAAAAGAGCCCTCAAGTCTATTCAGTCTCTCTTGATGCAATCAAATTCACTAATCTGCCCAGATACAGCTTCTCCACAGATTCCTTCAGTAACAGACCTCAGAGAAAATACCAAAGTGAAACATAACAAATTCCCTCATTATTTTCTCATTGGTCAGATTCTATAAATCTCTGATAATATTTTCCACTTCCACTGCATTCTCTACAACTGGCTCATATTCCTCTTGATTTATGGTAGCTGGAACCACACATTGTATTTCTGCAGAGACATCATTAGAGAACATTTACAGTCGAAGTTTCAGGCAGCTATACACCTAACAACAATTTCTTCTAACTCATGATTCCCAGCTTGCTTCTGAGAATAACTTCTAAGATTTTAATGTCCTCTTAAAAGTCAAGGTATTTCCTGTCCTTTATCAATAAAATCTGTTAACTCACTGCAGGAATAAAGTAGAATGGTATGACAAGGTTTTTCTTGACTACCAGTTATTACTGTGCATTTATCAACTCCTTGACATTTAAGTGAGTTTTTTCCCCTTCAGGAAATAAGGTTAAGCTGGGCTAAACAACTCTTTTAAACTGTGTGAAGCATAGCCACAGCATTTAACTTTTTCCAGTCATCCAGAACCTCTCCCATTTTTCACTAGTTGTCAAGAAAAATGAGAAGTCACCTGAAATTGTTTCACCCTGCTCATTAAGTACCCTGGGGCAAATTCCGGCAGGACCAGTGGGTCTAACTTAAATATGCAGCTGTTGTCACGTCTTTAACTAAACTGAGTCCATTTGTTTCTTTTCTTTTTGTAATAAGTTCACACCATACACTCTCTTCTTTCATTTTCAGCTTTCTTCCCCCACCCAAGTCTCCTTTAAATTCTCTTCACTACAAGATCAGCATGCAGGCTGAGCCTTACAGTGCAGAACAAGCCTTTTGGGCAGACAGCCTTCAATGAACAAACTCACAGGAGTTTGTTTGCCAGCATTTAAATAAGGGCAATGGTTTGCATTGGAATGCATGGGCTGAAGTAAGGCATAGTAGTTTGTTTATGCCTACAGTTGGCTATAAGCCCAGAATAAGCTTTTTAGGTCAGAGTAGGCTGTTGTAATGTGGGGGAAAATGAAGGGCACACCAGCAATCTGATATTACAAATTGGTTAGTAGTTCCTTACTAACAATGTAATCAAATCTCTTATCCTGTCAGAATAGCCACTGCTAGACTGTAGGGTACGTAGACAAGGTAGAGTGAGTGAACCCACAATAGACTGGTACATCCTTGGTAGCTAAATTCAGATTGCAGGTGTTTTAAGTGTTAATTCAACTGTGTCTGGAGCTCTGCCTAGGCAGGTCTCCTCATACTGTCTTAAAATCTCCTCATGCCAACACCACAAAGCTGTTACCTGGTATCATCATCATCATCTAAACCTTTGCTGTTTGAAAGGCTGGTCACAGCTTGACAAGCCACCCACCTTACAAGATCCATGCCAAGCAAGGCTTCAGATTCAGAAGCTGGTTCTCTGGTCACAACGGCTTCATTAGCTACACAGACTCCGTGCTCGTTAGCTCCCATTTCTGCCCCCCAAAGCCAGGAGGGCCTGCTCAGCACAACAGCGTGAGTCTTCGGCACCTGCTCAATCTCAATATATGTGCACTGCAGGGACAGCAGGAAAAGAAGAGGTCAAACAATTGCAAGTACTTTATCTAGTGTTGTGACTGAAATAACACAAGACTTCAATGTACAGACAGGACACACATTATTTAAAATGTTCACGTTTTGTGAATGAACAAGGAACTTTTTTAAACAACATTTAAGTGTCATGTTTGAGCCTTTACATCCTTATGTTGCATAAGTCTGGAAAAATACATCTGTCTCAATGCTTGCAGGCTGCAAAGAATCAAGCAGAACCCAAGTGTTAGAAACTTTGGAAGGCAGGAGGAGACTGTACTGCTACATTAATGAAACATAGATCATGTTTGTACATAGTAACAACGACAAACCATTCTACCACTTTACCTGAGCACAATCTCCAGTATTTAATTAAGTACATAGTTTAACAATGGTAACTGGACAAAATATATTAGAAGGCTTCCCCCTCTCCCTTGCTGCCTCCCCTGCAGCTGCCCCCAAGACAGAGACAACTGCAGAAAGAGAGAAGAAAAGTCTTGAAAAGATTCAGTGGCATGCTTTGATAAACAGTCATAGAAATAAAACACAGGCATTACGCTCATGTTTGTGCTATTTTAAATGGTCCACTGTAATCGGATATTTGTGGATGTACTGTGACAAGTCAAAACTACAAAGGAAAGCTGCAGAGAAGTCAATGAAACTGCAAGGAAGGAATTATATGTTATCTTTCAAATACATTCACTTTTCCCTTGCCCTAGGACTTCAAATCAAGTACTGTTTTACCAAACAGCATGGATTAGAGCTTGAGCCATCATTACATCATTGGCTTGTGCAAACCAAAGGAACGGGCTTTACATTTTACTACTGAGTTCACATCAAGTTTTTCGAAGATCGAACTCCACAGTATTTTCCTGTGAGGAAAGTGAAGTTGTCTGAGGTATTTATGAGACAGCTCTTAGTGTCCAGCATTCCTGTTGTAACATCTTCCCTGCAGGAAGTAATCTGCAACATTTTTCCAGAAGAATATCTGATCAGAAATATTAGAGTAAGCAGGATCATCAGAATGGACTTGTGGACTAAAAGTTGTGAGCCTTGTTTCCCTTGCTGGGTCTATATTAATACCTAAAGCCAAAGAAATCAGTCCAAAATGATTAGCAGCGAGAAGCTATGGTTTTTCTCCTAGCCTGTCTCTCCCCCTTTAAGGATTACACAGCATGAGCATCTTCATCCTCCAGTTTGAGCAATGATTTTTACAGTAATAGTTAGTCTAGTACGCAATTAAAATGCATAACAGACCATCTTTGATCAGAAATGGCATTTTCAGAGTCCTTCACTCTGACTATGCAAGAGGGACACAAGAAATGAGCTTGCTACCTTCATTAGGAAATGCATGCAAATAGTCAAACTGTCACCTTGCTATAAAACCAGGCAAATTATATGTGAAATAAGAGAATGATTTCTCAGAGAGGATATACATGATGACTTAAATAAAAAAAAAGAAGGAGCAGAAAACTCTTTCCTCTTTCATTATAAGGAATAAAAAGAGTATAGGGACATGTTTCCCTTTTCTGCTGTGTGCTTAATTTTAATTTATGGCTTAGGCAATACGATCCTGTCAGGAACTTGCCTACTGTATTTGTTAGAGAAAATCCTTAATACAGGGGCCAGGAGCTAAAATTTGACTAATGAAAGCACTTTATACAGTTCCCCCTTTGCTTTATTGTGTAACCAAGACATGCCAGAACAGATATTCCTTACCAAAACTCCCCCTTCTCCATTTGAGCTGTCAGCAAACAAATCTCATTTTTGACATTCTGTGCAATTTTATTTCAGTGCTTCAGGTCAGTGCTGTTTGGATAAGCACTTAATGCATGTGGTGAACAGAGAATAACTGTATTTGCTGGATGTGCAAAGGAGGAGCTGCAGCAGCTGGAAAAGATTACATGTGAAAACATGACCAGGGCAGCTGTCAGGTGACAGGTCTGCAGCCAAGGCAGATACCAACCCCTGTACAGTGCAAGCCTTGGCCCCCACATCTCATGGGTAGTCAGCCAGCTGAAGCCATCCTGCAGAGTCATCCAGGACACCAACCTTCTCAACTCCACAGCAGAAATCAAAAACTGTGACAGTGTGGAGGAGACTTCAGTACTCCATAAACCCGCACTTGCATAGCATTCTCTGGCTGAATAACTCCATTATACAAGCTTGCTTACACTGACTCTTTGATTTTCTAGAAGAAAAAATTATGATAGCACTCTGAAAAGTGATAGTTAGGCTAAAAAAAATGCTGAATGCCTTTCCTCTGCAAAACATATTCTGGCTATCCTTGCAACCAAACACTTATTACTTGGCACCTCATTCAAAGCAGCATTTCCAAAGCTGCTATTCATTGCAAAGATTTTATTGTCAGTGGTAGCAGTTGAGAAAAGGGAAAGAAGAAATTGTTTGTTCCTACTTGATGAATCTAGAGCATTCTGAAAAAAATGTGGTTTTGCTATGTAACTATGTAATCAGAGCCCAGGAAACATCCAGAGGCACCTCTACACAACTTAGAATATAGCTGTCACCTTCTATATTGCTTCATTACATCCCTTAACCCAAAAAAAAAAAAAAGCAAGCATGGACCATATTTTCACACTATATTCAGTTTCCATACAATAACTCAGGTACATAGTGTTCAAGTCTTATTTATATAAATTGTCTCAGAAGATCTAAATAACAGAAAAAATGTATTCCAACCTGCCAGCAGCTGACAAGTCTTATGAAACTACTGATTCTTATTTGTTTGCCATGGTTATTGACACTGCTGAATAAGCCTTGATGAGATTTCACCTTCCCATTAGAATTATTTACTCCAGTAAGTATAAAAGTAGGCACTCAATAAGATTGATGTATTAAGGCAGGCATTTGGTTCATATTTGTTAATAATAGGTATGAACTTCTAAAAAAAACCAGGGTCCAGAAAATAGATTATTAATTTTAAACATAAACCTCTCACTTCATAATTTCACCATCCCCCCTTAAAAAAAATCAGAAAACTCTCTTCCAGGACCCAAGAGGAACTGGGCTATCCACTTATAGCCAAGACACATCAGTCATAAAGGTAGGTCAACCAGAGCCAGACATTCAGTTTGCAGCACAGCAAACCACTGCTACTTGTTCCACGGAAATCAGAACATACCCTTAAACCAGCTCAGGCACAAAAGGAAATGGGGGGAAAGACAACACTAACCACCAAAAAAACCCTCACTGATTAGATCTCTAGAAACAGGAGCTCAGATCATGACAGGATTTCAAAAGTGAGCACAAACTCCAACCTCCCTGTCCCCTCTCCTGCACCCCACAGATCTGGCAAACCCCTCCACAGCACAAGAGCAAAAGCAGCCTGTTCTATTGAGATCTGTGCCAAAGTAGGCAATGACAAATGAAACAGACATAAGGTACTGCTGTGATCCTGCTTGCCACTAACCCCGTCTTTAAAATTCCTGAAGTGTCCAGCCTCAGCATTTCCTAAAACTAACATTTTTCTTTGAGTATGAATGCTAAAAACAGAAGAATACTGACAAATTTGGTGGCAAAGGCTGTGAGTGAATGGTGTCAGGCTCCATTGATTTCTAGAACTCCAGTCCCGAAAGCAGCATAACTGGCATCATGCCCTGTGACAGTAAATTCCCATTAGGAAATATAAAAGTAAAGAACAGAGACTTCACATACAAGAGATGCAGCCAGCAACTTTAGAGAAAATTGAGCAGGCTGGAAACTAATGATATTTATTTCATTTACAGTATCAAGAAGATAATCTTATCAAGGCAGTTCTAAGAATAGCACAAGGCAAAAATGTATCTCCCACCCTTGCTCGGGCATGCAGATAGATTGGAGGTATTCCAAAAACAGACACGACAGTCATAAGCACAAGAGATTTCTTCTTTCATTAATGAAAAGAAGCTATTGTGCAGTTTCTACTGTACTCAGGCTGCAGAAGCCCAATTCCTAGCACTGTCAGTCAGGTCATTATGAAATATCAATGAAATCACATAGGCTTCAGCCCTGGATAACAAAGGCAATAGTCAGGGAATGCTTTAGAAAGAAATGATGTTTGAAGAAGGGCCTTAAGATTCCAGATTACAGAAGAGATCCCACCCCACCCCCTCCCCTGCCATCAAATCTAGGCTCTAAATTGGCATTAACTCTTTGCTGAACTACTTCCAGCACTGCTGTACCATAGCACATATTTGAAATTAGGCAAAATATCTGTACCATTGTAGCAACTCAGTAAACTGCATCACGGGTGCTTTTAACCCCTTCCAAAAGAGGGATGGAAAAAATGTGATCAGGCAGTCTCACAGCCCGCTGCCTCCCTGGCCATCAAGACATCGAGACTGACAGCCTGGTTGGAACTGTCTGGAGAGGTGATTCCACAGGTAACATGGGCTACCTGTACTCTCCCATCACGGTGAAATTGAAATCTGGAAAGGTAGAACATGGTTGTTCATAAAAGCACCTTGGACCATCTTGTGTGGATGTGCCTGACAATGCACTTTACCAACAATTCTTTTGCTGTTAATTTACAGGAACAAATTTAGTAGAGATCAAAGGAGTGGTAATAACTGTTCTCTGGAAAAGGAAATATGCAAGCAGTAGAACACAACACAGAAGATGTGGTTAGCCAATGCTGTTACCACTGCTTGCTTAGGCTCAAAGCAGAACTAAGTGTAAAGTCATTCATATGTCTTCCACTCTACAGCACCAATTAAACATGGCCATGACATCTTCTACTAGCAGTGAAACTTGTGCCACCATGGAGGGGACAGCCATACACCAGGATAAATCCAGCCTGGGTACATCTCAAGCAGCCAGCCCTAGTTCTAGCGCTCATGTAAGTCAAACCAGAATGATGAATATAAGTCTCTCCAGCGTCAGGATGAATCCTCAGGTATTCATCTTTCCAAAACACACGCTAGTACTTGTATCCTCATGTTGTAGCCAGATATAAACAGTATTAACTAACTGTACAAATACAGAAA